AAAAAAAAGAAAAAGAAAACAGACAAGGCAGGGAATATATAGCACAAAACTCCATGGGAGGGAATGAGTCATGAGAAATGAAAAAATGTTGAATTTGCCTCTAGCCTTTCCTGACAACCTTAGAAAGCACTGAGGGAAAATTTGATGGATTCATTTGGAAGCTTTCAGATTTGAAGACTTCTGTTCAGATTTCAGCATCACTGTATAAAACAAATAATGTTTCTGCTTCTCAAACCTAAGTTCTTTCAGTAATGTTCGGTAGTTCTAATTTAAATGTTGCAGACTTAATGTGGGATAAAATATGAATGTGATAAATTTGAGGTCTCTTGCCAAAACCAGTGCAAACTGACAACAATATGGCAAGCTTTAGCCCTCTCAAATTATGAACTAAGAAGCTAAGGGGGTTATGGGATCAAATATATTCTTGGAATACAGTAGTACTAGATGCACACATGGGAAAGGAAGAGTTGTTAAGATTAGTATTTCTATTCTTTAGCACTTGGAATTTATAAGTGGCTTATTACCATCTATTACTGGTGCAATATAATATCTAGGAAAAGTGCTGGGCATGGTCGCTTATGCCTGTAATTCTAGCACTTTGGGAGGCCAAGGCAGGTGGAGTGCTTGAGCTCAGGAGTTCAAGACCAGCTTGGGCAATATGGTGAAACGCCATCTCTACAAAAACAACAAAAATTAGCCAGATGTGGTGGCTACTGTAGTCCCAGCTACTCAGGAGGCTGAAGTGGGAGGATCATGTGAGCCCGGGAGGTTGAGTCTACAGTGAGCCAAGATCGCACCATTGCACTCCAGCCTGGGTGGCAGGGTGAGATCCTGTCTTAAAAAAAATAAACAAACCAAACCAAAACAAACAAACAAAGCTAGGAAAGGAATCTCCCCACCTTCAAAGTGATCATTATTTATATTAAGTGCCTCTCTTTAGGTTGGAAACTTTTTGTGACAGAAACTCTTAAGTGTGACAAAATTCCATGTGACTAACATTGAGCAAGAGAGACAGAAAAAAGCCTGGTGTAACATGTTGACAAAAATCTGTAAAAAATTACAAACTAATGTTTATTAAATTTTGAGCATTGTATTCTTTTTTCATAACTCTTCTGCATTTGCCTTTTTATTTTTATTCTACTCTCTACATTTGAATAGTGCTTTGCAGTCCACAAATGGTTTTCTGAACAGTATCTTATTTTTTTTCTCATTTTTTCCTCCTTATTACTGTCTATTAACTGGTGCAATATAATGTCTAGGAAAGGGGCTGGGCATGATGGCTCATGCCTGCAATTATAGCACTTTCCTGAGGAAGTATCTTGGGCAGATGAGGCAGTTATTTTAAAGATTTAAAAAATTAGAAACCTGAGGCTCAAAGAAATGTTTTATCTGAGGTCAAAGACAAGACGGTATATTCAAGGGTAAATGGGAGATCAGTGGTTTACCCTGAGCACTTTTTCAGGATGCTATAGCTACTGGTCGAAGCCTCAACTGCTTTCACCTGACGGTTGGTTGGTATCTTAACTGTGCCTTTTAGAGACTCACCTTGATGCTAGCACTTACCTGCTCAGTGAGACCCACAGGACTTCACCTGGGCACCCCCAACATTTGTCACCCCTTTTGCATAGTCCTCAGTATGGCCATATCCCAAGTACTTAGTACAATTCTGTTTCCAATATTGGAGCCACTGTTTCAGTTGTTTTGCATGCTTCAGATAGGAAGACACTGATCCCTTTAACTAGGGAAAATTGTAGATGAAAGGGCTGTTTTCTTACAAACATGGATTTAAAGAGAAAGGCTGTGCGTGGCTGACACCTACTGGACAGAAAAGGTTATGGCATGGGGACATGCTGCTTGCAATCGTTAAACACACACACACAAACCCAATGCAGTCATGTTCTAATATTCCCTTACCCCACCCCCTACCTTGTTTTAGAGACAGGGTCTCACTCTGTCACCCAGTCTGGGGACTAGTGGTGCAATCACAGCTCACAGCAGCCTCAAACTCCTGGGCTTAAGTGATCCTCCCTTTTTTTTTTTTTTTTTTAAACCAGGTCTCGCTGTCACACAGGTTGGAGTGCAGTGGTGTGACCACAGCTCGCTGCAGCCTCCCAAGTAGCTGGGGCTACAGACTTGCGCCACCACACCTGGCTTAATATTCCCTTTCTGAAACAAGTTACACATGTCTGTTAATGCAAAGGAATTAGAGCACAAAGCTCATCCATTCTATTCCTGATTTTTTCCCTGGATCCAATAGACAGCACTTTATTCTTCCTTTTTGTAACAGAGCTGTGAAGTCTGAGGTTACCAATGAAGGACCCAAATCTCTCCCTGGAGTCAACTCACAATTCATGCTCTCACCCCACTCTTCTTCTCATATCTATGTGCCCCATACCTATGAGCTTTAGTCTGAAGCAGAAGGAAACCCTGCTTTAAAATAAAGCTAACTTTCTTCCCAGTGTCTCAGGGATGACTGCCTATGGTCAGTTAGATGGGGGATTCCTGAGCCAGTAGTTTTAGAAACCTTTATTTCATTAGAAAATGAAAAGCAGATAAAAATTAATGAGAAAAGAACAAAAAAAATGTAAAAAGAAAAGGCCAAAATAGGTCAGGAAGAAAGAAGGATGAAATGAGGAGA